GAACTTTTCCTCCACATGATACAGGCTACTGATAGTCGGTAACAAGAGTGTCCCAGATGTTGTTGATGGAACGTAACGGAAACAAAACTAATGCAGGATGGACAAGTAAAACAGTAACAGAATCAATGGCTGCACCGACAGGTTTCAACATCTTGTTCCCCTAAGAGGCTGCCTAGTCAGACACGAATGCGACACCGATAGACGATGTTCAAGGTCTTTGGGTCTACCCCTCCGCTCTCCTCTCCCTACGGTCGGATCGGCTGGCACCCTACTGCTGCACCTTCCCCTCCCCCCGATTATCGCCCATGGCCGGCTGGTCTCCTCCTTCCCTCCATGGTATTGCACTGTCTCCTTGGAGTGGGTCTGGGGGGGGCCTCCTACCTTAGCGTGCTTCGTGCGTCGCTTCCCGCTTGAATGAGTAGACTCGCCCTTCGGGGCCTACGTGGCTTGCTACTAACCTTTCTTTTGTCTTTTTGGGATTTCTCAGCGGGTTTTCCTGGCCCTTCCTGCTTTCTTCTTAGTTAGGATTTCCTTGTTCGTCCATCTAGCCGGGCTTGGATTTCTTTTCTTTGAGGCGAGATGTGCGGTTGGCTCCGTACCAGAGGGGCTTGGGGGGTTGGCTTTTTCCTGTGGCGAGAGGAGGGATATGGGTTTTTTGTCGTCATAGCTAGCGCTCCATACGTTTTTTGTACCCTAAACAAATAATCAATGAGTTAAACAAAAAAAAACAAAAAATCCTTAGCTTTCAGAATCATCAGCGAACAGAGAAGAGATCTTATCAATATATTCGTTATACTTCGATACCTACTTTTGTTACGAGCTTTCTTGACTATTCTCCGAGAAACCTTATTGGCCCCAGTTACAATTCACTTGACTTAGAATTGGCTGCCGCCTAACAGATACTTTGTCATGTTTTCTTCATTAGTAAAATTTATTCCTTTATCAGGTTTCTATATCAGTTAACTCTCACTATCTCGGATGACTAAAATTTGATGATTGGCCTTTTATAATAGATGATCCGCAAAAACATATCAAGTTGTATAGCAATGAAATTTTGAATTAATAGTATTTTGTATAGGATAGTGAGGGATCCATATTATAGAGATCCCAGACAGTGGAGTTTAACTGTATACTAAGCTTGTAAATCTGCTACTAAATGCCTGTTTTGCTCCATTAGCTAATTTATTTATCCTAGGATATGTTACAAAGAGATCTATATTACCTATTACTTGAACGTATCCCAGAAAACACTACCTCATTCTGTCAGCAACGTGGTATTTCCAGTGCTTTCTCTGTTACCTAGTCTGTAAATCTTCTCCTAGTAACCCCCTTTGCATACAAACCTAAGACCAAGGATGGACATCCCCCAAAGGTTAGCGACATATGATACTATTTCTCTATAGTAATTCTTTGATTCCACTTTGCAAGAGTCCTTGTTTTAATATATTTCATGATCTAAAGGATACTGAATTTGAAGGAGGTTGAGTAGTCCTGGAATCATCTTATTTTTATTTATTTTTCCCCTTCTCCCATATTCAACTTGATGGTCTACTGTTTATCTTTCAAACTCTAAATATAACTTTTCCTACTTTTAAAGTACTCCTGCAAGCAAATTGAAGTGGGACCTCTCTCTTGAAAGTAGAAATTCTCATACAAAGTCTAATCCAGCTTTATGAGTAATACTGGATGGTATCTAGAGTTAGCCTCAGATCTTTTTCTAGTTTGGGTTTTGGTGTGGCTAACCAATTGTCCTCACTATTCCTGTTGTTGGTAGTCCCCGCACGCTAAATAGCGACGAATACATACGAAGGGATGGTGAATTACCTTAAAACGAAAGGGTTCAGGCTGATTCAGCAGTTGCCTAGACTTCCGCCCCGCATATTCCCCACTTGAAGGGTACGGTAGTCGCCAGGGCACAATCCCCGGCTCCCCCCCATCACCACCACCACCTCATCCCCTACACCGTTTATAGTCAAAATTTCCTCCATCCCATCCATCACATTACACCCGCCGGATCTCACACAGCATGGAGGACGATGGTTCGGCTTCCCACATTCCCATTTTCCCCGAATCACCGACTATATCATGTTGACCGGGTGGGAATAGACTTGCAGAAGATTCGCCAGGCGAGGATGCAGGAGCTTGCCCAGCAGGGCCAAGGCGAGGGCGGAAATGATAAGAAGTATTGTTCTCATGAGACTCTTCCCTTAGATGCCACATGTGCAGATACGTTCTTACCACGGCTTCAGACAGCAAGAAGGTTTTTATCTTCCAGATCTCTTCTATCCACGGCGTCTCGTTTGCCTACTAAGCTCGTATCTGGGAACCGATAGATGAAGCGCGGAAGTCTATAATTTCGCAGATACTCACTCCGGAAGCCGTCGACCGGCTTGGCCGTATAGCCATGGTCAAGGAATCGAGGGCTCGCGATCTCGAGAACCGTTTGATCATGATGGCTCGTTCCAACCAAATTCGTCAGCGTGTCACAGAGGAGGACTTGATCGCTCTGATCAATGCCATCGATGAGAAAAAGACTACCGAACAGAAGGTTGTTTTTTCACGTCGGAAAGGTGTCCTTGACGACGACGACGATTTCGATCTGTGATGGGCAATGGGTTTTTCTAGTCATCGTGGATGGGTGGGGAACGGTGGTCTGCTTGGTTTCTTGAAAGCCCTACTATTTCTACGAAAACATCACCTTTATAATGGGCCGAGCGGGCTGTAATTCCCTAAGGCGATAGTTTCCTGGGCGGCTGTGTGATGGGGAAACGTGGAGGTGGTAGTAATAATACAAGCAGTGCTCTAGTGTCCCGCAGACTCCCTTGCGGCCTCTTCGGCCCTTCTCCGAGCTCTCAATTCTGCTCTGATCTTTCGCAGACTACAGCGGGCAATGTATCGTATTAGAACCGATGCCAAAGCTCAAATATGGTTCGGGTAGAGCTTACTCTGGAGGCCTCTCCAAGCCGATTCTGTTCCTAAGCTCCTTCACATCGGTCTCCAACTCCTCTTCCCAATAGATGTTGATCACTTCCTTGGCCTGCAATCCATTTCTGATAGCCCAAGGAAAGTAGGTGGTTAGGACCCTCCTCCTCTCCTCCGGCTTCAGTCTTACCACCGCAAACATACTTAGACCAGTCATGGGAATAAGTGTATTCGCAAATTCAAAAGCCTTCAAAGCAATCTCTCCCTCAACTATGATAGGTAGCCCCGTAAGAGCATGATAGAAGTCGTGACACTCCCGGTATCTCTGCATAACATAGGCGCATTCGGGGTCGTCGATATATCGTACCTGTTCCTCATTAGCAATGCCTTCTCGAGATTCTCTCCCCCCCATACGTAGGTATCAAGACTCGTGTGGGGAGAGCAATATACCTGAGATCGAGTATCTGGGGAGACGCCCTCCTTATCTAGCCACGCTGCATATTCCCTGCCCACGGTGCCGTCCGGTAAACTCCGTAGCCTCTCCAAGCTCACGGTGGTGGAATTGATCCTTGGGCGATCTTTGAGAATCCTCCGACCGGTAGGGGACGATAGCATAGCATCCCGGAGCCTGTATATGAAGTATGGTGTCGCTGTGGCCTCCCCGAGAGCTGCGATCAAGTCTGCGTATATATATATTAGCATTCTCGGCAGCGGTGGTGTGGTTCCAGCCGTCGAAATAAAGAACAAAACAACTATCGCAGTTCGGGATATAGGCTAAGCCATAAAGTAAAGGAAAAGAAAATACCTCCTCGTCGGGGGTTCAAAAGCGACATCACCGCCGAACCCACTGCAAGCAATCCTCTCTCGGGAACAGTGAGCGGAACATGACCCTCGTAATTGGGGGGTGGTCGAGATAGGGAAGTGAAGGGTGCGAATCGGGATGCGGAGACAACCTTGGGAAACTCCCTCAGCAGCTTTACCTGTGGACCCGTTCGCCTAATGGCCCGCCTAACTAGTGGATTCATCGTTGGCGTTGGCGTTGACAATAGCAGGTACGAGTACTCGAGTATGCGAGATGGGGCAGCCACCCGTTGTCTCAGGTAGTGCCAACGTAGCGTTCTTTCTATCATACGGTATGATATGTGTCGCGATGCTGAGGTCCTCCTTGCTTCAACCAAAACCAGCCGACTCAGCCCACCGACCCCAAACTAACTTAACGGTTGTATGACACGGTACTAATAACGGAACCAAGCCAGCCAGCCCTATCCGCATAACGATATCGGCCCTATGGCGGCAGCCCTCTACCCCCCACGCCCCAAAGAAGACACATTGAAAGCGGAAGAAGAATCGGCCGTAAGAGACCCCCTCCCCCCATCTTCGTCTTGATCTAACGGATCACAAGGCCCGGGAGCTAGCCTGGCTCCTGAGCTCCCTGCAGGAGACGATCGACAATGTCCGCTCTTGCCTGCGGGAATGCTCCAACCTCCTCACCCCGAGCGCCGGCTCCACGCTAGTCCTTTCCTCCCCGCGCTCGGAGTCACTTAAGGGGTACGCGACGCGGGTGGCTAATAAGATCGTCAAATCGGATATGCAGGTCAAGATGTACGGGTTGCCAAACTCGAAGGGGTTTGCCTGCCACAGGTTGAGCTTGGACACCAAGGGGAAGGGTATTGTGCTGGAGCAGTTGGCGGATGTGGGAAATCACGTTGCGGAAGGCCTGGAGATCGTTAATGGGGGAATGGGGGTTGTGGAGAAGTTGGGCGGGACTATGGAGAGCGTTCGTGCTGCGAGAGATGCGCTCAGGGGAACCCTGGCACATCGATTGTTCCCCTACCATGCTGTGGATCCCAGGGTATGGTTCATCTGATCTCTGTTTGGTCTACGGGAGGCTGATTGCTTAGATATTCGACCCTCCACTTCATCCTCATCTTGCGTTCGATCTCTATATATCCGAGGCAGCCCTCATAGTGGAATTGCGGATGCTAGATCCATTAACCCCTCCGGAACATCGTGGGCCAACTTTTGCGTTGCCGTCATTGGAATCCCCGTTTGGCTTTCGCGAAAGATTTGCTGCTGCTGTGGGACTGAGAAATGGGGGAAATGGAGTTGGGGCCGCTAATCAGGACGAGATTTACAGTTACAAAGGGGGGGACGTGCGTGTCAGGGAGAGGGTCAGAGTTGAAAGCCAGGATCCTAGTTTAATGGCTGTTTGGGCAAAGCTGGGAGGCCTAGAGCATGCGCTGGGACTGGCCATCAAGTCTTTGGATATCGCGATGAAGGCAGCTGGGCATTGTTAGTGATGGGATTAATTGTTCTTTGCGGACGCCTTTTTGATTGGATCGATCGATCTCGCTGTGGTCTTGATCCTCCGGATTACAGAGTTTGCAATAGATTGCTGGAGAGCATGATGTTGCTGGATATCTCTGACTAGATTCTGACAACAATTCTAAGGTGGTAATAACGCCGATTCGCCAGTGATAGCCGCGCAAGAGACCGATATCGTCAAACTCCGTCATGAAGCGCCGTAGTTCATAGTCATTCTCAATTGCCTTTCCTGTTTGTTGCGGGCAATGTCGGCCTTCGTTCTGTAGAAAAGCCCACCGGCAAGCTAAAAGGAATGGACACATACCTTGTGGCTCGCCTGCAGTGATAACCTCTCAAGCGTATGAGCCACCCTTTCCTTCTTCCCCTTCAACATCCTCAGCTTCTCCGCATTCTGAAAGTTCCCGCCAAGTGCGCTCCTCTGCCTCGAGGAGGCAGAACAAGATAGCGAAGGCTTCTGCTGCAACCTCCCCTCCTGCAACTCCGACTTTGCAATAAGCACCTTCTCCCTCCTCTCCATCTTGGCCAAGTGCTGTTCCACCCGGCGAAGCAGGTGCTCGACTTCCGGCCCGATCTCGTCGGCGAGGGCGGTCTGCGCGGCGTACAGCGTTGGCTCGGAGATTAGTTCGAAGTGCTACCCCCCCTTAATTAGCGAGCTGTACTGGTTATCGTAGCGTCTACAAGTTCGGGACGAAACGAAACGAACCCGAGTACATTGTAGGACCCTCTTGATGCGCGGGAAATCGTGGACTCCCGAGTCCAGGATGGATATTGAGGAGTCTAGCAGCCGGATAGAGTTTTGGAGGGAGGATACGCAGCCGTTCAGTGAGGAAATTGTGTTTGTGGCTCCGAATGACATTTTTTTTGCTCTGCGCCGTTTTGTGTTGGTCGGTGTTTAGATGCTCGGAGCAAGGTCTGCGTTGTAAACACAATACCGTAGAGGTGCGGTGCAGGGTATTTTCAGTCACGAACAAAATCTCAGCGCAGGTCCAGCGGGTTGTATCATAAATCGATGCGAGTTCTGGTAAATGTATTGGAACCCGTTAGTTTGGGTCTATTTGAGCTTTCTACGGGCGTTTTATTATTATTATTACTACCGAATTCTCGAGTTTCTCCGAAGGTATTATATTTGGAGGGATTTGGACTGGGTGGGGTTGATCTATCTCGCGGGTATCATAACGTCTCTTCTCTCACGAACCCGAACCCGATTCCAACGCACCCTCAACGCATCAACCACCACGGTTTCCCACGATTCCACCATCTCCATCAATCACCTCGCTGCCAAAGTCAAACATCGAATCGTTCAGACCCTTTGCAGGCCCCTCGCCATGCTCGAAAGAATCTTTGGAAGGAAATGGCCCGCGCCGATCGGTATGCTTCCGCCATCTTTTCCCCTTCGGTCTGTATCTCCCCACTGACGCCGGATGTGATGATTAGCTAAGCCGATGGCACCTTTCTATGTTGCCGGTACATAAACTTCTCTAATCGGGAGAGTCCAAATCCAGAATTTCTGGCTAACCTGTGCAGGTGTGATCGTTTTCTACGGAGTTAACAGTCTTTCCAATTTCCTCGCCAACAGTATGTTTTTTTAATTTTTTTCTTCCTCTCCGATCTATCCCTCTGCCCCGTATTTTTCTTTTTTATATGTGGAAATTACTGTGCTTGGAGGATTCTGGGAGGGGTTTGTGAAGGTATGCGTCGTACCATGACTTACAAAGCGCAGCCGATGAGTTTAGAAATGACCCTCGCAATCCTAACGCCAGAACCAACCCCCCCGGAAATGCTGGACATCATTAGAACCTTTCCGCTATTTCCTCTAGAAAAGCATAGATGTACCGAGCGGTGGAAAGCGGATGTGACGGGCTGGATAGGGGATGGATGGGATGGGGTTCTGAAATGTAGTATTGGCAGGCTTGTATCATTGAAATATCAATACGGGTACCGATACCTCTACAGTCGCCCGCGCTAGCGCACAGTATAATTTTGTGGTTCATGAGACGGAAGCCGGAGGTCTCAGGCGGCTTGCCACGATGACGGGTTTGTGTCACGGTGTTGCGGTGGAGATGAGCCGTCGGCGGCGGTGGTGGCAATTCTCTTGAGGATGGGGGGGTGGGGGGAAGAGGGCCCGGACGAGGGACGAGGGATTTCTCCTGCTAACTAGCGGATGAGATGGGCGCTGGGAGATGACTTGGCGCTTCCCGATCAAACAGTCGTTTTGTAAGGAGGGCAGCATACGAGTACGGTGCCGGTCTTGCGGTAGTGCAGGAGGGACATTGTCCAGTATGATACGAGTTCTCGAGTATCCTGTCGTCCTTTTTTTCTTTTCTTTTCTCTCCCCCCTCGCTACACCATTTTTTCTCACTCAGCACTGCCTTCTCCGAGGTAGGCACAGCAGGTTTGGTCAGTTTATCCATAATGCATGAGAGGATCACCACAACGTTATCACAAAGCATATGATTGGCGGTAGGGTTCAGTTTGTTTGGTTTGGTTTTGGTTGGTTTTCTTAGTTGCCTGGCCCTTTTGGTGGTTGGCATGAAGGCGTAGGGTAGGGGCACTGTAGGGTACAGTACAGTAAGTTACGGTTGTTCAACGTAGGAGTTACATCCACCCTCCCTAGGGGGAAGAGAGCCCAGCCCGGTCCAGCCTTGCCCCGTTGCCATCTGACTGTTTTTGGCCCGCCTTTCGCTGTAACAACCCAGCTGCGCCTATTTAAGTTCCGCCCCTCCGCCCTCCGACCTTAACCCCTTCTCTCTTCCCATCAAGAACGAACACTGCTCCATCCACCTTCTCTCTTCTCTCGCTCTCCCTGCCAACACACAAGCTCCCTCCACCAACACCAACACTCTAGCTCAACTCCCAAACCACCACCGCTCCGAAGCACCCAAATACAGCTTTCCCCCGTACCCAACCCCCCTCGAAGTCTGTTTATGTCCATCGAAAATCTCAAGGTTAATGGTGAGCCTTTTTTTTTCTCTTCCCTTCCCGAGTTGTCGCCACATGAGCGCCTTCTTGGAGAGTTTGTCCTGGAGGCACAACACCAGTCACCTTCCAGATTGATCGATACCATTAGCCGATCCGGTACATGGGCTTTCTGCAGGATGCCTCTTGCTCGTCTAGGTTGTCTTTGAGAGCTAACAAGTTTTTTTTTCGCTTTCTTCCTCTTAGATCCTTTCGCCGACGACGTTGGTGATACTCAGCCCAAGAATTACGTCCATATTCGCATCCAACGTGAGTACCCTTCTTTTTCCTTTTTTTTTTTTTCTTCCCCCTTTTTGCGGGAAAAAATGCACTCGGTTCTGCACGTTTTGCTGACTCATTTCTCGCAGAGCGCAACGGTCGCAAGACGTTGACGACTGTCCAGGGGTTGCCCAAAGAGTACAATCCTAAAGCTCTCTTGAAAGCTTTCAAGAAGGAATATGGTGATTATTTCTCCTTCCCCACCCTTTTGTTCGACTCGGCACTCTGCCCGTCCGTCTTGCATGTCGTTTAGGCAGGGCATGGGTGTTGTTACCCCTTAGCTGTTTTGAGATTACGGAAGCGCTGACCTTGTGTCACCCTTTACCCTTGCAGCTTGCAATGGCACCATCATTCAGGATAAGGACATGGGGGAGGTGATCCAGCTTCAGGGCGATCATCGCACAAAGGTTATGGACTTCCTTACCGATAAAGGAAGCGACAAGATGGGCAAGTACGCGCTTGCCAAAGAGAATATCAAGGTGAGTCATTTTTTGCCGGAACCATTTCCGTCAGTCTTGCTGGAGGCTCTGCTCACGCTATGTTTAGATCCACGGATTTTGAGCCCCGCGTCTCCAGCTCCTCCTCAGGACCCTTTGCTTTGGTTTTTTTTTGAGGAGTACTTTAGCGCTGGAAGACATGTTGCGGGGTTGATTACGGGTGTGGGTGCTTGAATTTTCGGGGAGGGGCGAGGCTTCTGCAGTATAAAACATGCTCAATAAAAGTCACTCAAACGTAGTCAGTTTTATGCGACACCTTGTTTGCCTTGGTTTTGCGGTTTCTTGGAGATGATTTTGTTGGTTGGTTTGGGGGGGGGGGGGCGCCTTTTTATTTTGCTCTCTTTTGTTCCTCCTATCGCTAGGTGTTGGTGTGTGATTCAGGACTGAGGCAAACTCGGATGAATAAAGATGACTTGAGTTGACCGGACCATTCTCCATGTGAACCGTGAATAACTTGGGGAAAGAGTACTCGAGTAAGCAGTTCACACTGGCCAAGCCTGGGGGTATCGTACTTTGCTTGCGCCCAGGCTCGGGCGGGATTTCTGCCCGCTGAGAGCTGAGATGATATGCAGCACCGCCTCCCTCGACTCGGGTACGTACTCGCGTACTCGAGTACGGGTACAGTTATCGCAGACGAAAGGTGGGGTCAGCATGGGGGATGGGGGGGGATCAACGGCCATGACGTAGGTGAGCTTGAGATGAAAAAAGGTGCCCATCTGGGGACCGATCGCTTATTTCATTCTGGTTGTGATGCCGGGACCGCACCGAACTGGTAAATTACTCAAGTTGCCGTCAGAGTTGTGTGTACTGTACTTGCACCGTAGATAGATGATTGGTTGGTTGGTGGATTGCGGGGGGGATCCGGGAACTTAAAACTCCTCCACAACCGGTGCGAAGCTGAGCGTTTTCACCTTTCCAGTTGTGCCGAACAGAGATTACTCGAGCACCGTACAGTGCTGTACCGAACCGTACTTGTAAGGTAAGGGAGGAAGGTTGGAGTGAGCAAGCCACAAGGGCGGATCCGCAAAGGGAGTGTGAGAGACTGAGCTCTTGCTCGCGCAACCGGCTCGAGCAACCCCGGGACCCGCATTCCCATCCGCCCGTCACTGCACCGTACTTGCAGTAAGAACTGGGGAGGGGGCGGCTTTTGAGGGAATTATCTGACCAGGTTGGGCAAAGTCATGCTCGTGCTTGTAGGAGTACTCGAGTACTTGTGCGTGTGAGACAGCAAGTGGACACTGGGAACCGGGCAGTGGGGCGGAGAAGGGAGGAAGGAAGGAACGGGGTTCGAAAAATGCCCGTCATGAAATATCACTAGGATTCGCGCTTTTGGTGAATTCGGTGTCGGACGACTTCTCCCATTGACCTGGCATAGTATAGGTAATTAGTACTGTACATGTAGTACCCGTTCCCGGCGTGCACAAGTCTGATGAGTGTTTCATGCCTACGGGCCGGGCCGAAAGGTCTGATGGAGAGGATGTCCGTTTGCGGTTCCGCTTTCTTGGGATTCAACAGTGAGAGCTGTTGTCGTCTCTTGTTGCAAGTGATTGTGTATCGTACAGGTATAAACGGGATAATTTATGTGGTCATACTCGCGCCGGACATGATGTCCATTACGTTTGGAGCAAATGTTAATCCGAGTGTTTGATCGAGTGATCGGTTGATGGGCGCTGGGCGCGGATGGGAGCGTATGATAGCCCCTGCGTACCGTGCCGTACATGGTATACCGGTGATATGTACGTACAGCGATCATACAAAGAGTCTTGGTGATTGAGCTATAGGAAATAGTCCGTGCCGGGAACGGGCGGGCTCGGGTATTCGGCAGGGTGAATACCGGCAGCTCTGGTACTTGTGCCGTAAAAACCCGCTGTATCCACTATCGGCGATCGGGGTTTGGCAGTTGCGCTAGGGGATGCGCGTAATAGTGCCAAGATATTGGGTGACAAGCCATGATGGAGAAAGTAGCTGTTTTCGCTGTGAGCCTTACTGTTATGATTAGGACTAGCTACAGGCACGCCTGATAGCTAAAGTCTTGACAATCTGGACACCTCACAGTCCATTAGGGCTCTCTGAGAATTCTACATATCAACATCAGTCCTCTTTTCCGGGATTACACAGCATATACCTGCCGTGATCCAACTCGTGTACTATATTCATATACCTTAACAATAATACTTGCTTAAACCAGCCAGAGTGTAAGAGCCCTTATGATAACTGCTTTTTGTTGAATTTTCTAATTCGTTTCATATGTATATTCTCCTTGATAATATCGTATATTCCTCTACTTAGTATTATTTCTAGTTCACGGACATTACTATAGCGGAGTATGTATTACGTATATTTTATTGATATTTCATGATACGATTAGGGGATTATGGCGTGCTTTTCTTATCTGGTGTTCGGGTTTATTTCTTACATTTTATGCATCATCATGCACGGTCATTGGTCATTTGATTTACAATTATGTTTTAATTATCCGTTCACACCACCTCAGATTTACGCATGTTTTATGGGATTTCCTTGGCAGTTCTTTAGGGTCAAACACGTTCGCACTTATGTTTTTCCTACTTATGTTACGGTCAAACACGTCAATACTTATGTTTTCCCTTACATTTCCTCTTAGTTACGCGAAGGATGCGCACCTGTATAAATAGGAGTTACCACCCATCTCGCTTAAGAGAATTAAGGACAAGAATTACTACCAATCTACCTTCATACAAAATTCCTCCTCGCTTAGCGTGCCCGCAGTATACTCGTACTACTGTGTCGTACTTTCGTACAAAGTTATTAAGATAGTGCCGTACCCACACATTTGAACACTTTTCACATATGTCTCAATGGAGATTGTGAAGTCCGATCACAGGTTACAAGACCAAAAAACCAAGGAAATGGATTAGTGAAACTTTATCAATTGCTAGTAATAGGAAGAGTATGAGAACTTTACAAATATAAATGCCAGTGTACAAGACAGAAGGATCTGCGTATTAGTGGTGTGAAGAGATATACTCTATATGTAAGCTGAGACTACCGTATGAACTAGGATAAATGAAAATTGTACTATGTAGTCCAGAATTTCCTTCTTAAGAACAGGAAGTAAAACCTATCAAAAAAGCCACTGCCTGAGATAAATTAAGAAGAAACAGACAAGATGTTAAGAATCCTACTGGGTAGAAGGGTGCGACAGGTAACAACACTTCTCTCGAGATAAGGTAATAGTTCTTAGACTGTTGCCTACCCAATATCAATAGTTAAGTCCTTTGACTTCTATCTTATCGCACCTATCACCTTAATACTTTAAAGTCCTTGCTTAGGACTTAGTCTTTGGCATCGTAGGAGGAAAGACAATTCTTGAGTTTCTTAAGATAAATCTTAAAGAGGGTAAAGGTAGATTTTATTGTAAAACTTAAAGGTAGGAAATAAACAAGAAGAACATATGAAGAGCTTATACTCGGGGTCCTAGTAACCCTTTATATAGTAGCTCTTCACCTGGTGTAACTCATACCTCATATCATACAAACACTGTAACTCATAACTATGAGTCATGCTAAATCCATCATCTGACTCCTCTGAGTCGCTGTGCAACATACCTAAAACCAATCAAAACATAATAACCAAGTCAGGTGCACAACTTGCATCACCTGAGTGAAACCCATGACTTATGAATTGAGTCATGTGCTAAAATCACAATATTGTGTAACTCACAACTGTAAGTGTCATGGCTACCTGGCTATGGAGATGGAATATGCATGGGGTTTTGGTTGCATATATTGGGTGTGGTTTTCTTGGTTGCATAGTTGGATTTCCTTTGTATAAGTAATTGGAATGCATTGCCGTGCTACAGAAGATGGCGGAACTGGATGGAAGGGTCGCGGCTGCGCGTGACGCCAAGGACCTTCTTTTGTATTAGTATTCATAGAGGATTTCCTTAATATATAAAGGAGTGTGCCCCTTTATATTTTACTTTCTTTACGCAATCTGGTAATCTCCTTTGGACACCCTTTCTTATATTCCAGGGAATTATCTTATCCATCATGATACCTTTCTTTGGCCCGACCGGGGTCAAAGGTTCTCCTCATCATCTCCATCATGGGGTCATCACCCCCTGTCGTTCCGCAACCTCCTACACAGCCTGACGGGGCTTCGCAGATTTGGCAATTACCTATCTTTCGGCCTCAGGGCTCCCCCTTGCTTAAACAGCTACGCAGTGGCACCACAACAAGTCTACTACGATACTCACAGGATGACTTTGATAAGCTCAATGGGGCTTTCATGAGCATATTCCATGAGTTCTTTAAGTCACAGGGATTCACAGCACCAAACACATTAGGAAAGGCCTTCCCTATTATAATCCACATGATGCAAAATTTGCACGAAGAATACAGGAAGGCGATGGATGGGCTAACCAAGCACATCACCATCCTTACTGAGGAGTTGGATGCCCTCCATGCCTCCACTCTATCTCAGCCTGCTCCCACCACTGCTCTGCCGGCACCTCCTACTACTAACACTACAGAGCAACCCTCTGTTCCTCCCCTACCCTCTACCCTTCCCCCCACCCAACGTCCTGGCCAGACAGCTCCCCGCTCATGGGCTACCGTCGCTACGAGGGCAAGGAAGCCCTTCCAGAAACCAAGAAAGCCTGGCCTGAAGCCAGCCAAATCCTCTGCCACTTCAGCAAAGCCCCTAACCGAAAAGAAAAAGGGCCTCACCATGTGCGAGTGTCGGCTCATCATCAAACGCGACGCTACCCCCCTTACTTCTACTGCTGTACAGCTACGTGACAGCATCAATCAGGCCTTGGCCTCAACTTTGATTCAGTCTGTCTTCTTTCGGGACAGGCATGTTACTCTCACTGCTATGGACATGGTCAGGGCCACAGCTGTTAACAGCAGAGTTGGCTCCTGCTTGCACCTCATTCGTGGTGCTTCTACTGTCCACCTCGACACTCCCGCCTCCCAGATTCTGGTGCATGGCATCCCTACCTCTACCTCTCTGGCATCGCTTGCCCAAGAACTCAACACTTTTAACTCAGGCTTACATCTTACTGAACAGCCTCGATGGCTTACCTCTGATTTAGCACGTGTTAGCAAACTCGCCTCTACCATTATTATTTCCATCACTGGACCCAAGGCTCCTTCTTTTGTTGACAACTGCCATTCCGCCTTCTCCAATAC